GACACATTTATTTCTGTGTCTTAGATAACACAAGAAACAAAATTCACAAAAACATTTCAATCTTCACTGCCACCTGAAAGTCCAAAGAACAGGAATAGCACTAATTGATTTCAATCACTTCTGAGTGTGGGAACCAGAAATGCAAATACCTGGACTTAGCAGGCACTTAGCATAATCAAGGATGTAATAGAAACATTACTGGATTCTAAGCCCTATTCTAACTCAATCACCAAAAGCTAAGTAAAGAATATCACTATAATGAAAGCCACGTTTATAAATATCACCAATGATTGCCAAAGGAATCCACCATTTTAAAGGCATGGAACGTCTTTGATTTTTGCCTCTTCAAATCCTTCTATTCACGAGCATGATTGATCCAGAAGAACTGACAAACTATGTGAACTTTGTATTGGCACCTTCCCTGTATGCTTGGTTGTCACTGAGAACCACTCGATGAGGATTTGTTTGAGGCATGACCGGCCTAATATCAAGCTACATAGAAGTGACAAGGCCCTCATAGAAAGGCTTCTTGAATTGTCACTTCCTCTACAAAGCTTTCCCTGATGCTCTCTTCCCTCCCCCCATCTCATTCCCACAGAAATTTGCTTATCTATATTTAACTATAGTTCCTTTGATTTATGATAGTTAATTTATCTGCCAGTCTTCTCCATTAGTGTGAGAACTGCTCAAGGACAGACATCATAATTATCTATATGTTTATTCTCAAAGACTCACACTATTCCTTATACAAAGTAGGCACTTAGTAATGGCTTGTTGAACCATAATTAATGAAAATAAGAGTTACTTTCATTGAGTGTGTACTTTGTGCCGAGCACTGCACTTGACATACTTTACTTGTCTCAATTCATACTTAAAACTGTGCAAGAGACTATCCTCAATAAGACTTTATGCAAAAGTAAACTGAGAATTAGAGACATTAAGTAACTTGCCCTGAATAACACTGCTAATATGTGGCATAGCCAAAATTTAAATCGAAATCTGTTTCCAAAACTGTACTCTCATGCATTTGCTGGAAGAAAGGAAAGGAAGGGAAAGAGGGAGGGAAGAAAGAAAAGAAAACTATCTTTAGAATGTTCTCTGTAAAGACCCTGAGCAAAAGAAGTTCAACATAAAAAAATTCATGTATTTGTTTGTTAACTAATTTTTTCTTCAGAACTTTTAACCAGCAGTCACTGTTACACAACCTAACGTACATTATAAAAGTCATATATACATATACACACACACATATATGCAACATAATCTTTAAGTATCACACTTAGTACATAAAAATTATTCATCCATTAATAAGTCAAAGAGCCCCTTATCATCACTACTATTTAAATGGAGCTTCTGGCTAAAGGCAAAGAATGGGAAAAAAATAAGGATAAGAAGGAATAAGTTAAAACTAAAGTAAACACTATTTCAGACTTCTTATAGTTTCTTGGATGGGAGGATGTAGAGAAGGGAGAAATCAAAGGGGAGATTTGTGTTATACTAGTTATCATCAAAGTATCAGAATATCCTCACTGGAATAGAAAAATACCAAGATGTTCATCATTCCAAGATATGTTTTCTAAACTCTTTCTCTGTTTCTTTAGACAAGTGATCACTCACTGTGCCAGTAGAGTTAAACTCATTTATTAGCTATGTAATACAGAAATAAATAGCAAAGAAATATTGATCAAATAGTTCCTGTGGTGGTGGGGAACGACAAACACAAAATCCAAATATTTGAAATGCTCACAAATTCCCTATTCAAATAACATGTTTTCATATTTTTTTTAGCTCCTCTGATCCTCGTCAATGGACTGCCACCTTTGGTATTTCCACAGCATTTCCTAGACAGAGAAGAGGAGTAAGGACTATTAAAACCCATAACAATTATAGACCTGCAACTCATGAAAATGATATTGCAGTTCTCGAACTTGACAGGAGCATCACCTTTACCGCAAACATCCACAGCATATGTCTCCCAGCTGCTACCCAGAATATTCCGCCTGGTTCCACTGCTTATGTAACAGGATGGGGATCTCGAAGATATGGTGGTAAGCGTCTCAGGAAAAATAAAACCAAACCAAAACAACAACAACAAAATGTCCTGGCACCTGTTGTGTAATATTTTTAATCAGGGAACAACAGAAGGACATGTTCTACGGACAGAACCATCCTATATTCTGGTTAGCCTAAGCTCTAGTTATTCCTGAGTTTCCTCAGCAAAGAAAAGCAATGCCTCTGGAAACTAGGGGAATTCTCAAACGTTGTAATAGGGAAATGTAAAAGAAAGTGATGAAGAAACATGAGTTCTTCAATGATCCAGAGACTATATGTAGGATTTAAATCGCTCCCTTATAAAGAAAATGAAATTTTTAAAAAAGATTTGGATAAGTGTTCTCTAAGGGTTTTAAAACCCATTAAGGTATTGACAGCCACTTAAGGTATCCTGGGATGAAATAAATCCTGCCTCTAGAGCAAGAAACTCTATGTGTACATAAGCATTACTCACACTTGTTTATTGAATGAATAAATGAAAATAAAAACGAGGGCAATATGAAAGAGTAAATAGGGCCAAGGGGAATATGAGAGGATCAGCCAGGGAGTGGAAGGAGAGCAGTAACAATTCCCATGGGCTTCTATCTGTGTTGCAGATGGGCTCTCCAAGGAATAATACAAAGGCTTAACATCCTAGAAAATATTTCACTGTGGTTTTACGGCCGAAAGTAATTTGGTGGAGTAGACAAATTTGTGCCAGTCACAAAAATGGCAGTGTCATTTTGAAGGAACATCAATATAAAATAAATTAGTTCTTGAGCCTTGAAACCAGACTGATTTCTCTTTTGTTGTTTGATTAAAGGTTACTAAATATGTAATTTTCCAATTCAAAGTCTCAGTGGGGAATTTAAATGCGACTGGTCAATTTTTTTTAGGAAGATTAGCCCTGAGCTAACATCTGCTGCCAATCCTCTTTTTGCTGAGGAAAACTTGCCCTGAGCTAACATCTGTGCCCATCTTCCTCTACTTTATATGTGGGACGCCTGCCACAGCATGACTTGACAAGAGGTGCATAGGTCCGCACCTGGGATCCAGGATCCGAACCAGGGAACCCAGGGCCACCAAAGCGGAACATGGGAACTTAACCCCTGAGCACCGGGCCGGCCTTGACTGGTCAATTTTAAGATAGCAGATTCACTTTTCTTTTTCTCTTAAGGTCTAACAGGCACTGTATCACAAAGCTAAAGCAAAAAAAGAAAAATTGATCTGTGTAAAGGGGTTATCCTTCTCTACTATAGGAAACTGCTGAAAAAAAAACTCTGAAGTACATCTTCAATAGCCTTCTTTGATAAATAAGAAACAATGTTTGGACTAAATTTATTCCTTCCCATATTCATCACAGTCATTAATTTATACATCCTGAAGTCCATTTTCTTTCTTCTTTTATACTTAACAGGCAGCACAGTTACAGATCTAGAGCAAGCACAGGTCTATATAATAAGTAATGATGTATGTAATGCACCAGCTAATTATAATGGAGCAGTCTTGCCTGGAATGCTATGTGCTGGAGTACCTCAAGGTGGAGTGGATGCATGCCAGGTAAGTTCAAGACAATGTTATCAATGCCATCATCCGAGCTTATAAGCACTTACTAGCATGTGATATGGTGATAGGCATAGAGATAACATAATTATAATACACAGCCCTGATCCTCTAAAAATTTATGATCTATATTTTAGAGATAAAATTCTTGTATGAACTTGATCTTTCATGAAACACTAATTCTGAGAAGCCAAATTACAGAATGGTTAACCATCCAAGCTCAAGAACCAGAAAGATCTGGGTTTGAATTCCTTAAATCTCTATAACCAATTCTTTTATCTATAAAGTGGGGATAACAATGATTGTATCTAAATTTTTAGACACTACTAAAGATTAGATGGAGATTAAATGTGTCAGACATGTACTAAGCAACAAAGAAATCTCAGCTGTTTTTACTGTTGTTGTTGTTAACCCAGACCAAGATCACTGATATTAATAACTTTAATCTCAACCTTTTCAACCACTCTGACGGTTTAAGTAAATTAATCACTCATCTAAGAGTCGTAGACAATAACTGATTTTAAATTATAAATAACACCTAAATATCAGCATCTTGAAGATAGATTATTTATACAAAAAGCTTAGTTACTTGAGTCACAGCAGTTCCCACAATTGCAAAATAGCATAAATGAGAAAAAAACTATATAGATCTAGCCTGTAATTTTCAACCAAATATAAAAACATAAACAATAAATACGAAATTCTTACTCAAGGAATTAGAATAAGATTTTAATAATAAAATTTTAATTAAGTTAGCTAAACAATTGATGTGGTTCCATCTTTTAATAGGTATTATTCCTATGTCTGAAACCCAACTGCTTATAGTAAGCAAGAACTACTCAGTATCAGAAATTTCTGAAATTAAGAAAAATCAATCTGTTTTCTTGAGGAATCTGCTGCTGTTTTCCTGGGTGAATTTTATACACAAAAATCAGGTTTATTCTTACCTCAAACATTATTGACTTTTATATTTAGTGCTCACATTCTTGAAAAAGTGGATAAGAAGTAGTTCTTACACAGTTTTTATAAAACCCCAATCCACAAACACTTTCCCCAAAATGAAACATTTTTATTGACTGAAAGTTGTGTGCAGGTGGAAGAGAATTGTTCGTCAATTTTCAAGATACCCCTAATTACTCACTGACCCTTTATTCCCTTTAAGTGGAGATGTCTTTGTAGTAGAGAACACTTCTTGCCCCCCTTCTTGTTTCTGTTTTATTGCTAGCCCTGTAACAACAAATTCACAGCTTTCACAGTAGTTTTCCAAAGAATTCACCAATCAAATAAGCAACATACCCCCACACTGACAATTCCAGATCTACTAAGAGGATTAATTAGAACTGACTTATGGATACCTATGAGATATAAAAGAGTGTTACTCATGCTTCACCCATGATGCTCCTTACCTTCTGTGTATACAAATTCTGCTCTTCCCTCAACTCCAGTTCAACCCATAACTGTTCATGAAATTTTCCCTGGGTGTTCCACTCTAGGCTTCACTGAATCTCAGCTGAAATACAATAACGCATAGAATTTGTCTCAAAAGAAAATCACTCTACATAAGCACTTACAAGATCCTGTTTCTGTTCATTTATTCATTCAAAAAAATGTATTACTTTCTATGTGCCAGATACTGTGCTAGCACAACAATGCATTCCCTGAACTCAGCAAGGCTGTGGTCTAAAAGAGACAACACAGCCTCAAATGTCTGACCAATCAGGAGGTGAAGCTGGCCAGATACAGGAAAAATTACATGTCCGTCTTAGTTTAACATTTGCTTGCCCACTGTTGGTAAGACATTATGCAGAGAAATTTCTAACTATAGAAGAGACAGCAGCAAAAACATAATGAAGGGAAAGTGCTGAGAAGTGGTTACCTGGGCACATATGCATGATCTAAAGGAGGCAGGTGCCAATCACCACCATGCAAGTTGGTGATTCACACGCTGAACCTTCTCCCCATCTAGACCAGTAATTAAGTAGGTATGGAAGAACTAGCTACTAAGAGCAGTCGAAAGAAGTGTTTTACTCATATAAATTTATTTTTGATTATTCACCAAAAGAACTTTTTGATGATATACTATGCATCAGACACCATGCAGGGTACTATGAATAGGAAGATAAGCGAAATTTCTAAAAACTCATTCATTCAACAAATATTTCCTTAGCATCTCCTATGGGCTATAAGCTTAGAATACAATGGTGTCCAGAATAAGCATGTCCCCTTCCCTGGTGGACCTTACAGTATAGCCAGAAAAACAGACACTGAACAAGTATCATAGATGCAATGAATATGGCAAAGATGTGCAGCTGCTACAACAAGGGGAGCTGATCTAGTGGGAGTGAATTTGATCAGGAACACAAATGCGCTTGTATAAAACAATGAAGAAGCGGGGGCCAACCCAGTGGTGCAGTGGTTAAGTTCGCATGCTCTGTTTCAGTGGCCCAGGGCTCACTGGTTCAGATCCTAGGCACAGACCTATGCACCACTTATCAAGCCATGCTGTGGCAGGCACCCCACATACAAAATAGAGGAAGATGGGCACACATGTTAGCTTAGGGCCAATCTTCCTCCAAAGAAAGAAGAAAGAAAGAGAAAAAAATAAATAAATAATGAAGAAGCCATAAAAGAGATACACACAGAATGTGGGACCACAAGCAGTAAAAACCTAATCTCCCCCAAAGCTAGAAAGAGAGGAAGTGGGGAGGAAAGGCACAGGTCAGGGAAGCCTCCTCGAACAAGTAAAGCCTGGGATGAGTAGCAGTCAACCAGGCAATTGATGGAGTCTGGGAACTGTGCTTCTCACCTTCTCACACTGTGCTGAAGGTACTACGTGTGTACTCAGAGGATTTCGGTAATTTTCACATGACTTGGTATAATAGTTTGACAGGTAATGTCAGACTAACTTTATTTATTGTCATGATGGATATGCCTTCTACTGCCATAGAAATAAACTCCTTAATACTTTTGGGTTGTCTTCACACTTAAATGATCAATCCTTCTGTTTCCTTCAGGGTGACTCTGGTGGCCCACTTGTACAAGAAGACTCCCGGCGGGTTTGGTTCCTCGTGGGGATAGTAAGCTGGGGGTATCAGTGTGGTCTGCCAGATAAACCAGGAGTGTACACTCGAGTGACTGCCTACCGTGACTGGATAACTGAACAAACTGGGATCTAGTGCAACCAATGCATCTCTGTTGCAAAGTCTGTACGCAGGTGTGCCTGCCTAAAATTCCAAAGCTTTATTTTCGGCTGCAAGAGAAACTGAAAGTGTCCCATTTTAACATCTTGGTACATACACATGGTTTCACAAACACTATTTAATCTTTCTTTATTACTACAGATTTTATATATTCTCAAATATATACATATATATGAACATGACCTAGCACTGTGGCCACGTGCCAGGGAAAACAGCAAACTAGTGACAGAGATAATTTTATTACAGTTGTGAGAAGTGCTAATAGTGAGAAAAACAGGTACCCTAAGAGTGGATCCTAGAGGAACCTCGACAAGTCTTCAGGGTCAAAGGAGTCATCTCGGAGGAAGTCTCATTGAAGCTGATAAGTGGGCAAAGTATAGAAACTTCCAAAGGAAGTGGTGGAATAACATTCAAGACAGAAGAGAATGTGGCAAGAAAAATACTATTTGAAATTTATGGTTACTCAATATTTTATAGGTGGTATAAGTCCTAAAATCAAAAATATATGAAGTCATTGTACAGTCCTACAGCAATATTAATTATCCCATAAGAATACGCTCCCATCAGAACTAAATGAATTTCAGGCATTTAAGATCAAAGCTAAAACATTCACTCCTCAACTGAGACCCAAAGAATTATAAATAATTTTCACGATAACTTTTATTAAAAGTTAACTTCACCTACATGGAGAGAATGTATCTCCTCCACAGGGAAGCTGAGGAAATACACCTGTACAACCTTCTCAGGCTACTTACAACTACATAATGCTTTTTAACAACTAAGATCGCCAGTGGCAGTTATTTTTGAGGGTCTAAGGACCCTCAATAGCTAAATCCAAATAATGAATTGAAAGTCATGAGGACAAAAATAGGAATAGTTGGTTTGTAAAAAGAAAGGTTAAATGGCTTAACTTCAATAAAATTATCTTTGAGAGAAAAGGAACTTCTTTCTCTTCCTCTCTCTTTCTCTCTCTCTCTCTCCCTCCTTCCTTTACACACACACCACCAAATAACAAATTCAATAAAATCCATTAAAATTTAATGGCACGGAGATTTATATAGTCTGAATCATGAATGTTACTGAATTTTTATGGGATCCTAACACAACTAAAGCTTGGTTATGTATGACATCGATGTGTCAGGGCTTCCTCCTTCTAAAAGCTAACTCACAACTCCTGAGTATCAGCCTGACTACATCCATTGTAATGAAAACGTCTTGTATTTTCTCCTGTAAAATTGTGAAGAGACCTACCCTGAAGTCATTCACTTTTAAGAAAAAGAAAAGAAAATTTAACCACTTCTTGGTGAAATGTGCAAACAAATCATTGGTACACCTTATTTCAAATAAACTCTTTTAAAATCATTTTCCTGCTTAAGTATTTGTGGAAGTTATGATTTATGAAGGACAATCCAAAACAATTTATTTAATTGCTTCTCCAACAAGAGAACTGCCAACTAGATTCAGGCTTGGTACTTTCTGCTGCCTTATAATCAACCTCTATAACTGAGGCAAGCTTCCAGCTTGAGACTCTCTGGCTGCACCCTGTGAGGACACCATTAAACTGGTAATTTAGAGGAAGCCTCAAGGGGAGTGTGTTTCTGTGCATGAGTGTATTGGTGTGTTTGTATGTGTGTGTGTGTGCATGTGCCCTCACATAGTCATAAACATACTTTTGTTTATTTCTATATATTGAAAGCTATATAAAGGAAAGTACTATATAGCAGGAAATGGAGAAAATTCAATTATTTATTAAAAATAAAAAATTATTTAGAAAATATGCATATTTTCATGAAGAGACATTTGAACACAAGAACACCTATTTTAAGAACTTTTTTTTTAAAGGTACTGATGAGTTCCATTTTCCTGATAGCTAACTCCATGAAAGAAATTTTGAATATTTATGGGAGGGGTGGTAATTCATAAATCTTTACAGTCCTTAAAAGATCATTCTGGGGGCTGGCCCAGTGGCATAGTGGTTAGGTTCAGGCACTCTGCTTCAGCGGCTGGTGAGGAGTTCACTGGTTTGGATCCCAGGTGCAGACCTATGCACAGCTTATCAAGCTGCAGGCATCCCACATATAAAGTAAAGGAAGATGGGCACAGATGTTAGCTCAGAGCTAATCTTCCTCAGCAAAAAAAGGAAGATTGGTAGTGGATGTTAGCTTAGGCCCAATCTTCCTCAAAAAGAAAATCATTTTGGAAACTTTAACAGGAAATTTCTAGCACCCTAATTCAGTGCCAGAAAGAGCTATTAATTCCAGGAAGAATCCTGTTCAGAATATAGAAAACACACAGACTAACCAATAACAAAACATGGCAAACACAGTGAATATTTGATGTTCAAACTGAATCCTCTTGAGTTTAAAATAGTGAAAAGAACTAATAAAAAGAGCCAGATTATCCAAGAAAGTTGAGAGCAAACAATTGATTATTGCACTAGTTAGAGGTCTTAATTACAGAGTGTATAACATTCATTTAACACATTTATTGAGCCCTACCATGAAACTAAGATAAACAAGACATAGTCCCTGCCCCTAAGACACTCAGGGAATGGTGGTGTTGACAAACATATTGCACAACATAATATAATGGATGAAATGATAAATAGTTGGATATTTATTACAGGATAACAAAAGAAAGGAGGAGAGACCAGCCCGGTGGCATAGTGGTTAAGTTCACACACTCCACTTCAGCAGCCCGATGGCCCAGGGTTCGCAGGTTCGGATCCTGAGCACAGATCTACTACCACTCATCAAGCCACGCTGTGGTAGCATCCCACATAAAAAATAGAGGAAGATTGGCATAGATGTGTTAGCTCAGCGACAATCTTCCTCAAGCAAAAAGAGGAAGATTGGCAACAGTTGTTAGCTCAGGGCCAATCTTCCTCACAAAAAAAAAAAAAAGAAAGAAAGAAAAAAGACGGGAGGAGGTCCCAGAGGACTCAGGGAACATATTTTACAGTAATATCAAAAGTGAGTCTTCCAGAGCATCAATTTGCCATGAACCATAACAATTACTCTGTGGTTAGACAGAAGGGGACTAAGAACTTCTCAGATTATTCATCTAAATCTGTCACAGGCTCTAATTTACACAATTCAATTCTTATTTTCCAATTTGCTAAACAGTAAACAGTTCAAACAGATCCAAAATAGATCTTCTCCTTATATTTTTCATTCATGCCTATATAATCCAAATCTCAAAACCCAGTCTTTTCCATTTCTAATCAATCAGTTTGATTAATATCCTAAGGAGAAAAAAAGTCATGCCCCCCACCCATATTTCTAGTGATTCATTTTTATAAGAATCAGTTGTCTTTTGAAGAAACAGGTCTCTTATCATTGAAGATATTTAAGCATAAGCTCAATGATCACCTACAGAAATGTTTTTGGAAGATTTCTGCAATGGGTCAGGCTTAAAAACAGATCTTTTCCATGGTCCCTTCCAGTCTAAGAGTCTACCCACTATAAGCAAATAGTTTTGAGGGAGCATAAGATCTCGGTGAGAAAGAGGAATTTCAGAGCACTGGGACATTTGTTTGTTTAATCTGGTGCGCGACCATGAAACAAATCATCTAGAGTGAAGAAATCAAACTGATCAGAATTCAAATTAATTATAAATCCATTTTGGATAAAAAGGCAACTGAATGAAATTGAGGAATTGATTCAAAAAGCAAACAGAGCTTGCAGGGCTTTTTTTGGGGCTACCTCCACATTTAACCCACCTCCAACAAATTAAACTGAAATTACTAGTGTAAAAAAAAATCAGTTGATACATTAGTAATGGGTTTTATCCTTGAAAAATTCATCCATCCAACCAGTTATTCATTTTTCAACCCATCCATTTGTCTATCAATAGCTTT